GTTGGTTTCTTTTCTTTTTGTTTTGCCTTAGTTTTGTCTTATATTATTTTAATTTAGGAAAGAGTCTTTGCTACGAATCCAAAGAACAAGAGTCGATTCACAGATCATATATATATATTATGGGAAGTTGTTTTACTTACAAAAACCTCCAAGTTTCTTTTGGGGTGTTGGTTCTCTTATAGCAGATTCATTTGTCTCTGATTTTTTGTTAACCTCTAATCTCATTTTTAATGTTATTGTATTTTTTCTTCTATTGTCCCCCCTACAGACCCTGAAGTACTGAGGAAACGCCTTGTGAAATCAACAGTTAACCCAAATCTGCTTGACTTTATCAAGTACCAGCCTCAGACTGCGACAAGCCATCCATTGTCAACTCGTTGTGGGACATCTTCAAAAACGATTGTCTTATTGAAACGGGCTTTACAAAACGGACTTGATAGGTAATCCAATTTTGACGTCACCAGTGACAATCCCAACCACCGCCTTTCCTTGTGATGGTGTATATGGCCACTTCTTGTTTCTAAACATTCAATCTCCTATATGTGACGTCACCAACTATTTAAGCCTCCTATCCCCACCCCCGTATCCCCACCCTCACGCCCACCGTACCCTCTCGTCGACACTCCGAAATGGCTGGCACAGAAGTATTCAACAGACGAGCGAGTGACTTTGTCTGCAACTACAGTTCCACCCAAGGTCTGGATTCCACAGCCCGCAACAATTTGTGCCCCTCCAGCGACCACAATAGCAACAGCAACAACAACAATAACAGCAGCAGCAGAGGCAACAGCGGCAATATCAACAATAGTAACGACAACAACAACAACAATAACAACAACAATTTCAACGGTATTCAAGGCAAATCTACGGCAGGTTCTCAGCAGACAAACCGCAATGGGAAGGGCGGTAACTCGAGCAGACGGCACAACAAAGGACGACATGTAAGTTTTTTAATTAAATCCTCTTAACTACGATTCCTAACTCAACTATACCAGAATTATTATTATTTTTAAAATAATATATTATTTGTAAAAGTAATGTATCTATCAAGAAAGGGCAATCCCCAAATATCAAAGGGTTTTTTGTGTTTGCTTTAACTTCGTTTTCTTTATTTGTTTATTTTTTTCGGGGTGAGGGTTATTTGAGGGTTGTTTCGGTTTTTTTATTTTTTTAAATTTTAAATATGTTCTAGGTACTTTTTGCGAGGGGGGGGGGTAGAGGATTGAGAATACATTTAATGCATTTTTTCTTTTGCTCGGTTGATTAGTAAACTCGCCATTATAAAAATTCCGAGCAATGTTAATTGAAAAATGCCCTCAGCTCAGCGCCACATTGCGATTAAACATTTGTGTGGAATTAGTCGCCTGTCAAGTTTTAAGCATGTGGAGTTATTGGTATCATCTGAAAGCTAAGTCAGTCTCCTTGCTTTTAATGGAAAAATACCCTCCGCTCTTGAATAGAAGTCGAAATGTTTGCGATTGTAGAAGGTAGGATTGTCTGTCTTCAGTGGTAAAATAAGCCAGAAAATTGTCGCCAAAGTTTGGTAACTTCAGTAGTTTGAGAGTACTTTTTTTTTTTAACCACATATTTTGCGCTTTTAAGTTGTTAGTAAATTTCACATGAAAATGTTTTTTTGTTTGGATACAAAGAGTGTTGAGCCAAAACACAAAAATTCTATAAAGATTGCTCAACTGACGATAAAAACACGCCTGATTTCACCACGATTCCTCACATTACAATTTTTCCAAAAAGCTATGTCTGTGAGTTGTAGACAATGGAAATAATAGAAGCCTACCGCACCAACACGACAGAACTACTGTTGAGTCATCAAGATTAAATCAGGCGCTCGTCAAAGATAAAAAATAAAATGAATTCTGAAGAAATCGGCATTTTTCCTACGGTTTGGCAATTTTACAAATCTTCTTTCTTTTGTTGTGTTTTTTCTTCCGCTTTTTTGTGGGTTTTTTCTTTGGGGGGGGGGGGGGTTGTTGGTTCTTTTTTTGTTCCATCGCCTTTAATGACTATCGGCCTGATTCCACCGTGTCGTTATACATTGAGTCATGCTTCTTTTCTCTTATTTTTGTTCTCCATAACTTACCGAACAAAATGTTGACTAACTTATGCCTACTGTTTGGTCGTTTTGTTGCTCTGACCTTTTAAATAGCAATGATACTTTTAGAGTATTAAGAGCAAGAAACATAATCTATAGCAATATTATTGGTTACGTGTGTTTTTGTCACCTTTGTAAACAGTGTAATAATAGGATCAAATATTTAGAAAACTCGCTTTTTCCAAGTATGTATTTGAACACAGCTATTACTTTAGGAGCTAGAAATAGAAATAATATCCAAATATCAATTCGTAGTGACATCAAGTTTTTTTTAACGTCCTTAGCTGAGGGGTGCAATTCTGATTCTTTCATTTTTTCTCCAGAGACCTCAAGATTCCTTTGGAAAATCCAACAGTAGAAGTCGGAATTTTAGAGAGCAAACGAACTTTCCAGGAGATTACGATGTGAACAAGAGTGTTCCAGAATCCTCCGTCCTCCCGCCTATCAGCTTGCCAGGCCATCTGAGCAGCATGGGGCTCAAACCCGAGCAAAGCACCATGTCCCCTCGCACTCTTGCCCTGGTCACCAACGGTCAGTCGCCTCAACATATGGCTTCCAGCAACGCGCTATCTCGGTTGGCCGCCAGAGGTGGCTCAACTCCTGACGGACTCCTAAGAACATCACAGAATGTTACTGCCGGATACAATAACAGTAATAACAACAGTTATAACCACATCAACGGTAGTAGTAACACAGGCGCTGCTCTGTCGGAGTCAGTGTTTAATTCAATGATGGCGTCCACGTCTAGAACCCCTGTGATCAACCCTGGCAATCAACACTTAGTTACTTCCTCCAACTCCTCGGCTGTCGTGACTGCGGGCGCCACTTCTGCAAGAGGCCCGCGAAACGAAAACGCTGGAAAACGGGGCTCATCACCTGATCCAAAAAGCAATGGTGGTGGTGGTGGTGGTGGGGACGTGTGTGCCTCCTCTCGGCTGTCACCCTCTGCTATGAACGGAAGTGGCGACAAAGCGAAAATAAAATTCGAGAAGAAGCTCCAGAAGACCTTAGCGGACAACAACGGCCCCACACAGCAACTGACGTCATCAACGACAAACCAAAACAACCTGCAGTCACCCCGAGGGGTCAAGGTTGCTAGTCCGTCTGAGGGTCAAGGTCAGGGAAAGCCCTCTCAGAACGAGACGTCACTTCTTGCAGCTCCCCCTCCTCCTCAGAGTCGGGAAACTAAATCGAGACAGCGCAGAGCAAGCACGAAATCAAGCCCAAAGGTATCTACATCTGGTGGCCCGGTCACTGCACAGCCAGAACCGTTTTCCATTAGGCGAAAAATTGAACAGTTCAAGAAATGGCATGAGGAGCAGTATACCGACGAGCTAAAACGACTCAAAATAGAGGGGGATCCTTCACAGAGGCAAGAGCTTCGAGAGATTCGCGCAGCGGAAAATGATGCCGTGGACTTCGCAAAGATTTTGGAGGAAAATATTATTCAAAACAGAAACTCCGAACTTATTACAAACGCCTCGGGAAAGAAAGATCTAAACGGAAGTGGCCTGTCTAGAAGAGATAAAAGGGCGGCCATTTTGGCTGCCAAAATGCGGCCTGCGTCAGCGACGACGTGGAAAACGTGGCGTGACGTGAACGATAGTGACGCGTACAATGACGTGAAGAAATACATTGAGGATAATGATCTCATGGATGAGGAGAGAGAGCAGTGGATCAAGGCGTGGCTTGGAGATGTCCGGCAAGCTATGGAGCAGATGGAGGAGGGGCATACGGACTCATAGAACAGTGTTGTTCTGTAGCACATAGAACTCTATTGTACATTTATGTGTATTTATCGAATAAGATACATCTTTCACTCGAGCCAGGTTATGTACGAGTGTTACGCCACTTTGTGAGTGACACAAGAAAAGGGCGTTTGGCGGTTGCTTTGTCCAACATTATCCTGTCCCACTGTTGTTTGTTCATTTCTATTATTCTCTTTCACTGATCTAAATGATCTTTGTTAACGTTCATCGTCACCTATCCTCGTAATTTCCCTGACCATTGTGGTATCGTAGTATAGATATAACAACGAGCATGTTCCACTCCCTGCAGGTCTCAGCTTTATGATGATGTATCAGTCAGAACCAGTTCACTCTTTGATGCTGTCTTCCCACCGTGGCCTCTATCTCCCCC